TGTGTGTGTGTGTGTGTGTGTGTGTGTGTGTGTGGACAGAGGCGTTATAATGAAACAGCAGAGGGGTGGTGAGGAGAAGGATGAGGCCTGAACAGGAGGCGTTCCTGCTCTGCTGTGCTGCTGTTTAAACTGTCGCTCAGAGTTTGAGCTTTTTATTCTGACAGTTTTTTTTGAACCRCTACAGCAGGCGGAGATGGGAGTTCATTTGTTACGAGGAGGAGAAGAGTTGCATGTGCAGCCAACACAAAAGTGTTTGGAAGTGAGGAAAGCAACAGGATTTAAAGATAAATGTTTACCTGAGCTCACGGATTAAGTTTCACACATCTTGTACTCTGGAGAAGCTCCAGTCCGTTCTGATGTTAGCATCTGTATTTAATCTTACCTTCAAAAAATGCTGCTATATTTGATCTTACAGCATGATAAATAACAAAGAGGAATAGATCGAATAGAATTGCTTTTATCACAGAAATGAGCAAAATTGGATTTGTTGTGATGATTCTGTTTGAAGMCATAGAGATACAACTCTGATAAATATCTGATCTGACAGCAACATGTTTCTTTATTAAATACGTCCATCACATTTTTACCCTATATCCAAAAAAGAATTTGATAATAAATGTTCCAAATACATATTTTTTTTGTAATTCCCTCCATGTCTGTTTTATCGTTTTCTAGACTCACACAGGGGAGAAAGAGAAGATCTGCCCATACTGCGGACAGAAATTTGCCAGCAATGGTACACTGAGGGTTCACATCCGCAGCCATACAGGTCAGGAGCTTTTTTATCACTTAATGCTTTGTCCAACAGCTGCAGCTTTAAAAATGTCAAATATTCCCAAAGTGTTTGTTTGAGCTATAAGGTAAGTCTGAATTACTTATGCATTCAGTTTTTCTTTATGTTTTGCTCAATTTATGATGATGCGGATGAAATAAATGCCTCCGATTTTATTTGTTCTTTTGGCTGCTCCCTTGTGCAGGAGCCGCCGCAGCAAACACACTAACATGAACAATTTTGCCTGTTTTACACCAGAAGGTCTTCCTGATGCAACCTGGGCTCAAACATGAACCCTCATAATTACAAGACCGCCTCACTGACCACCAGGCTCGAGTTTGTTAAGACTTAAAGTGGTGGTGTAGAATAATCTGAGTCAACCACTAATCAGATATGGTCTTGTTTTAAAGGTTTTTGATCTGCTGTGGTTAAAAATACCTGTTGTATCCCCCACAAACAAAACATCCGTTAAATGAACCAAAACGTTTATTTAGAACAGGAGTTCTCAAACATTTTTTTATTCATTTATTCATTTCATTTATTTATTTTGTTTTATTTTTTTGGATGGCCTCCATTCTCCCCTTATAGCCATCCTCTCCACACC